AGAAAAGTGTGAGCAACAGTACAGAAAGAAAGCCTTCTGGGCAGCTAAGATGGAAGCCACAGGAAAACAATGGTAATTGGATACCAGCACTGAGTGTGGATCTTAACAGGTGTTACGGAAGCCAAAAGCAGTCACACAGAAGTGACAGGCTCAAAGCTATTATTTTTGTTTTTTTTTTTTTTTGAAACAGTGTCCCTGTGTAGCTCTGATTGTCCTAGAACTCACTATGTAGACCAGGCTGGTCTCGAACTCACAGAGATTTGTCTGTCTCTGCTTCTGAGATTAAAGGTTAAAGGTATGGGACAACAGACCTGGCTTCAGAGCTATTGTTAAAACAAGTAAAGTCAGCCAGGAGATGGTGGCACATGGCTTTAGTCCCAGCATTCATGAGGCAGAGGCAGTCAGATTGCTGTGAGTTCAAGGCCAGCCTGGTCTACATGAGTGAAAGCTGCAGAGTCTATGGGAAGTGAGTGAAAATGGGCTAGGAAGACAGTGCAGTGAGTAAAGTTCTTGTTATACAAGTGTGAGGATGTGAGTTTGGATTCCCCAGAACACAGGTAAATCCAGACACAGAAACCTGCCCACAACCTAGTCCAGCTACACGAGCCGGCAGAGGAGAATCTTTGGAAGCCCATAAGCAGCTGTGAAACAGGTGCCGTTACAACAAGATCCAAGAGCAAAACCCAGCACCCAAGCCTGCCCTCTGACCTCTACGTGGACACTACAGCACACACACATGCACAGGTGCATGTGCACACAGACTGGCAACCAGCTTGTCATCTCTGCAGTATGAAGAACACACAAGTGTAGGCTTATGGGCACTTAGACCACCAAGATGGGTGACAGAGTGACTAAGCAATGGAAGGTAGGGAAGGGACTACTCAAGTCAAGCACTCCAGCCTACTCAAAACCCACTTGGGGCACTGCAGGTGCAGATGTCATCCCAGAAGCAATGACTCAGACTCCAGGTTTCTACAACATGCCAGCAGCCTTCTTGCCAGCATTAGCTACTGCTGGGAATACTGCATCACTGCTGCAGGGAAGAAGGGAAGGCATGCAAAACACACACGCGCGTGCGCACACACACACACAGAGAGAGAGAGAGGGAGAGAGAGGGAGAGAGGGAGAGAGAGAGAGAGAGAGAGAGAGAGAGAGAGAGAGAGAGAGAGAGAGAGGATCCTGCAAGAAACTGGAAAAGGGACAAAGGTGTGTGTGTATGTGTGTTGGGGGGATGCTGAGTATAGTGGCTCAGGTCTATAAGAGAGGAACAGCAGCAGAACAGAGTTCAGGCTGGGCACATAGCAAGGTGCATCTCATAAAATACCAAACAAACAAAACCCTCAAGTGCCAGGGAGGTGGCCCAGGGATATAGTGCTTGCCTAGAGTGCATAGGTACCATTCCAGCACCACTAACAGAGAAATCAAAGAGGAAAGGCAATTAATTACCTCAGGAGATTACCATCCAAAAAGCCTTCACAGGGAATTTTTCATTCATTTCAATATCAAAGCTCAGTATACCAGCATTTAATTCCATTTCTCAATAAATACCAGGTCCTGTGGTTCCTACTAAAATGCAAAGGTAGCAGGCAGGCCAGGAGCCCAGCAGAGGGATCTATCTGATAACTCAAAACCATTTGCTTTTCCCTGTTTTCCCCACTGTCCCCAGCTGCTATATCAGACACTGAATGGGTCCCAGACAGCCCAGGGTCAGCAAACAAGGGGTGCATCCTTCCTGGCTCTTCTGGAGCTCCCTGTTAATTTCTTACCAGCCCAGACAATTTCAAAGGTCTCACACCTTCTCAAAGTGTCCATCAGAAACCTAAATTTAGTTCATGCAAACCAGGGCAGGCAAGAACATTTAGATCTCATGGGTCACTCAAAATGATGAGAACTTTCCAATCTCCATGTCATATACCCCACCCCACCCCCACATCAAAATGAATTACGGTGTGTGGGTCTTTCTTTTCTACATAAACTATAGCCACCACCACCACCCCCACGCACCTTCGAAGCCAAGGGTGTCTAAATAAGCATTATTGGACATGTATCCCTTGGGAGAACAACAGTATCAGCTGCCTATACCAGTAAGGAATTTTAGGGCACTACTGATATAACAGGACTTGAACCCAGTCACACAGTGGGTTGTATTTTAGTATGGAGGCAGCTATAACAGAGTCAGGGGGACAGTGCCCACCATACACAGCCTGCCTGCAGAGAAGCTGCCTTACCTTTGAGTCAGCAACAAATCACTGGAAGAGGCAGGGTCAAAGCCCTGACCAGCAAGCCGCCCTTCCAGCCACTGAAGGAGAGCAGTGTCCCTAGTTACTCCTCCCATGCAGTCAAGCCATGTTCTCTCACTACAACATTTGCAAATTCTGAATGCTAGAAAGTGATTCTCACGGCTATTTGCAAACAACCCTGACTCTACAGGTCTAAATGGCTGTCCACATCTTCAGCAGCTTGTTAGCAGTAAAGATGAGCCCAGGCTCCCTCCAAGAAGACTTGGTGCCTGACGATGTGCTTTCTTAGGCTGCCTCCTTCCCCAGCACTCAAAAGTCTACTTCACCTTTTGTTCTCTGCCCATTTGTTTCAGGGCCTGTGCAGCCTTTGGTCTAAGCAGAGGCTACAATAAGGAGAAATGATTCTACTGCCTTGCTCACATGGCTGTAAGCAAAGCTACACACTCCTTCCTAATTATGACAAACTCAAATAGGTCTGCGGATAATGCTGCCCTCATTTTGACACACTATCAAACATGCATTAAAACAAAATGAACAAAAATCCATCCATTTTCTACCAATTTCTTCACTACCATTTCAACACATTTCTTTGAATCCAAAAAATCATGGTTTGCTAAGTTGGCCTTTACGTGATTCAAATTCTGGTCTTAAAAACTGGCACAACTGAAGCTAGGAGGTGGTGGTGGCAGCCGCCTTTAATCCCAGCACTCAGGAGGCAGAGGCCTGCGGATCTCTGTGAGTTCCAGGACAGCCAGAACTGTTGTTACACAGAGAAACCTGTTCTTGAAAACCAAACCAAACAAACAAAACAGGTACAATTGTAAAATAAAGAGCTACTTTTAAAATATAAAACAAAGATGCCCCACCATACCCATTTAAGAAAATATAAATATTCACACTAGGAAAGCCCACGGTGTGGGGGCAGGGGACTACTGGAAACAAGCTGTAGAGACGCTGCTATCTTATTAACTTGTGGGGGGCTTGAGTGTGGTAGAGAAACTGGAGAACAATGAAGGAAATGATTTCAAAGCCAGCTCACTCGGAGCCAGCAGCATTTTTAACACAGCTTTAACAAGGCTGAGATGTCCGGGCAGGCCACTCTGACCTAAACGTGTAAACGCAGCATTCTACCATAACTTATTTATGATACAAAAGTGTTACCAGATCAGTCTATTTCAGTATTAAAGATCCAACTGTCTCCACCTGGGACGGTCTGTCTGGGCAAGAACTTCCACACTTCAGGGTGACTGACATGACAATTTCCATTGATGTTACCCTGGGTTCCTCATGCATTCAATCTGATATAGAAAAATCTGCCCACAGATCTGACTCCTTAGTGGAATCCATCCAACTCATTCAGGGACTAGACCTGGAACATAAACGTTACTATTGATCTCTCTACTTACACAGATTACACTAGCTATAAATATCAGTCCAAGAGAAGCTGACACACATCACAGCCCAAGTAAAAAGAACACTGTCAAGCAATCTGGAAATCAAGGCCACCCAAAAAAAGCATTCTGTCTGTCAAGCACATCAAACAGGAGCCTGAGGCTTTTTACTTTTCTATTTTACTCAAAATAGATTTCAATTCTCCAGCTGATGGGTCTCACCCACCGCCTTGTAAACCTTAAAGCTGAAAGCAGAATATACTGCCTGCACCCGTTAGACGGGAACAGGATCTATTTTGCACATGCTTATTTAAGATGCAGGGTGAGTGTGGTTTTGGTTAATCCTCACAACCCCCGCACTGACATTTAATCGGAAGACTTATTTTCTTTAGAGGACTTAGTTGCTTGTAAAGACATCTTTGTGTTTTCAATTCGCTGTTTCATAGATAGAGGAGGGGGGAAAAAAACCCCTACTTTCACAATATTTTATTTATGTACCACCAGTCATCCTCAAGCGGGACCGGATCTCAGAAAACAGGACCATCTCAGACCATGATCAAAGGATAAAGGACACTCATCGAGGAACAAGGCCATTTAGAGGGTTAAAGCTATCTCATTTCCCTGCCTGGAAGGAAAAAGTTCCGCAGCCCAAGGAATGGGTCCTGTGTCCCCCTAGGTTAGTCGACTAACCTCATGGTTTGCCGCTCCTTGTTCTGCTCAAAGACCAAGCCTCCTCCTCTAACAGTCCTGCCGTAATCCCCATCTCCAAGATAGCGGGCCCTTTGGGTACAGCCACCCCTCCCCACCTTAACATGTCTTTCTCTTCCCAACACTTGTCACCAGCTGTAACGATCCATATTTGAGTGTCTGTGCTACTCCAAGCCTCTTTGGGGGCAGGGTAGGTCTACCGTAGCGTTCAACACACACCATCTCCCGTGCCTAGCGCCGAACAGAGTCCAACTCACATCCAACAAATGAATGGACAGGAAGGGGCAAGGGGGCTGTCATCCTGGGTCCTGCACGACCGCACACCGAGGCCAGAGCAAAGGAAATGTGCGGGGGATGGGGTGGGGTGTCGGCGAGCTCACCTCCCTCCCCGGGAGACAAAGGAAGAGGGCCTGAGGTGGTCCGGTTCAGACAAGGAAGCAGCGGGGGTGTGGACCAGTGGGGACAAAGGGTGGCTGGGACATGTTGGGGTCGGGGTGGGGGTGGCGGCTCGGGAGAGGACAGGAACCACGGAGAGATGCAGGCGGGTAGGGGTGGGCGCGCGAGCCCCGTAAGGGGTCTAGACGGCGGGGCCGCGCGACTGGGGTCTCCTGCGCCCGGAGGGCCGGGGAGGTTGCGCGGCCTAGGGGCCCCGGCTCCGCACCTGGTAAATGGCCGCCCAGTTCCCGGCCTTGTCGATCTGTTCGAACTCCTTCTCCATCTCCATGGCGGGCCAGGCTGGCTGCCCGCGTCCGTTCGGCCGTCCGCCCCGCTAGGCCGTGTCACTCTGCGCCCCGAGGCCCGCCGCCCGCCGCCACCGCAGCCCCAGCCTCCCCAGCCGCGGCTTCTGCATGTCAAGCCGGCAGCCGGAAGTACGCACCCCGCCTCGCCGCGAGCTCCGCCCTCTGTGCGGAAGGACCAATCAGGTCGCGAGGGGGCTGACCGGCACTTCCGAGGGGGCGGGGACAGGGCGGAGTTTAGTGGAAGAGGCCTGAGCCCGAAGAAATGACCTGATGCGCGCGCCGCTTGCCGCTTCCCGGGTTCTGCGCTCCGGAGGGCGCGCGCCGGTTGCCGAGGCGATCCCCGGCGGCGCGCCCATGGCGCGTGGGTTGAGGCGGGGTTGGCGGGATCTCGAGTTCGAGGCTCAAGTCTGTCGGTTGAGTCACGCGTCGAAGGCGTGGCGAAGGCGTGGCGGTTGGGGGGCGGGAGCGGCATTTCCTGTCCCATTCTTTCTGTTTTGTTTTGTTTTTTTCCAGGGTTTCTCTGCGTATCCCGGGCTGTCCTGAAACTCGCGCTGTAGACCGGGCTGTAGACTCTGACTCACAGAGGCCAGCCTTCCACCCAAGTGCTGCGATTAAAGGAGTGTGCCACCACTCCGGGCTCCCTTCTTATTTTTAACTCAGGGTCGCACTATTCCAGGTTGGCCACCTAACTTGCTGCAGGGCCAAGGATGGATAATCCTCCTGCCTCCACCTCCCACTCCTTGGAATCACAGGCATGTATTGCGGGGGATGGAATTAGAGCTCCGTGCGTGCTAGGACTTACTCTGCTGGCTGAGCCACGTCCCAGCTTCTTGTTGTTTTGGACTGTGAGTCACTCTGTAGCCCCAACTGGCCTGGGATTCACTATGTAGCCCAGGCTGGCCTTTTAACTCATCGATCCCCCGGCCTTAGTCTCCCAGTTCCCTGCGTTTGCCTACACCAGGCTATCCACTTTGTTCCCGTGATACAGGAGAGTTTCAGGAGATTTCTACCCAGGCAGAATAAATGAATGGGATCTGTGCTAGTTTTCTCTCTTTCCACAGTATCAAGAAAATACTGGTTAGATATGGTGGTGATTGCCTTTAAACCCAACACTCCTGATATAGAGGCAATGGGTCTCTTGAGTTTGAGGCCAGCCTGGTCTACATGATGAGTTCCAGGACAACCAGAGTTACACAGTGAGACCCTGTCTCAAACAAAAAGCAACAAAAAAGGAAAATCTTCCTTGGGGTGACAGTGGCTCATAACCATCTGTAACTCCAGTTTCAGGCCCTCTTCTGACCTCCAAAGGCACCAGGCACATGTGAAACCATACATGCAATAAAATATTCATACAAATAAAATTAATCTAAAAATATTAAAAAGAAAGAAATCTCCCTTAGGAGCTCATCCAGGCACACATTCTCGGGTGTGTTTGGACTTCCCAGGGTGAGTACTGAATGTTGATTCTGATAACTGGGCTCTTTGAAGTGTAAGAGAAGGGTGAGGTTTCCTCCTCTGAGAGTCTTCACTGGAGCCTGGAGTTGTTACCATGCAACCTGGGTAGCATACATGACAGAAAGGAAGACTGCATTGGATCAGTACCTGTGCTAACTAGCTCCTGGTGCGATATGATAGAGTGAATTCCAGCCTTCTCTCGGGAAGCTGTGGTAGGTGCTGCGCCTGGCATGCAGAGCCCCCATTTCCGTTTATTCACCACAACTACCCTCTCATAGAGGCATTTTGATTCCCAACCTAGAGCTGTCAAGAGCAATGCACAGAGACAAGCCTCTTGTCCGAGGCCCATTGCTGAGCTAAGCTAGCAGCTGAACATACCTATAAGCCTAGGAGAAGCTAAGGCAGGAGGATCACCCAAAATTCGAGGCCAGCCTGGCCTGCTTGCTAAGTTCCAGGTACAGAGTGAAAACCCTGTCTCAAAAAGCCATAAACAACCGCAGTTTGGCAAATGGAGAGGGGGGCTGGGTTCCAGCCTGACCTTCAGAGGATCGCTTGCTTAGGAGCCAGGCTTGTGGTGGTGGTGGTAGTGGTGGTGGGGACTCTGGTTCTAAAGTTCCATGATGAAGCCTGGGGTAGATTCCTAGTAAGCACTGCATCTTGGCTTTCTCCATTGTAAAAGGGGGATAATGTATGTGCCTCAAGATGGATGGGTGGTAGCCCATTCACCTAATCCCACCACTCAGGAAGCACAGGCAGGTGGATCTCTGTGAGTTCAAGGCCAACCTGGTCCACAGAGCCAGTTCCAGGACAGCCAGAGCTACACAAAGATATCCCCACCCAACAGAAAAGGAAAAGAGTGTGACTGCCTCATAAAAAGTGGGTGAATAATGGGCTTAGCAAGGGACATGGTCACTATTTAAATATTATATAGGTAGGTACACTAATGTTTTTCATAGTACACATGCAATTTGAGGTTCAAAGACAATCTCCCATAGTCTACATTCTCCTTCTATTGTATGAGACCCACGGATTGAACTCAGGTTGTCAGGCTTGGCAGCAAGCAGCCATACCCAGGGAGCCATCTAGCCAGCCCATTAATCCTTGCCGGATAAAGACAGCTGGCCTGATAAGCAATACCCTTAGAAATAGAAGCGCTCCTGTAAGAGAAAATTAAAGTTGACTATTCTGGTGAAAAAGTTGGGACCCCACCCTTGGAGGTTGCCTGGTTGAAGCTGTTGCCTACTTGAATGACTCTGAGTGGTGGGCTCCTCCTGTCCTTGTGGGGCACATATTTGAGGAGGAGCCCCACGGAGTCTTTCACCCCTGTATGCAGAGCTCACTAGATGAACGATCAAGTGCCCATCCTGATCCCCGGATGTGGCCCAGTAACTAGAACCTCATGTCCCTGTCTTTTTTCTTTTTTTGCATAGCCCAGGGTAGAGCCCAGGGGCCCGCATGCCAGGCAGTCTCTCGAACCCTGAGCAACATACTCTTCCCTCTTTTTACTTTTTATTTGACAGTTTCACTAAAGTGTCTCCTCAGATCTTGAACTTGTGATCCCCTGCCTCGGCCTCCTTTGTAGCTTGGATGAAAGGCTTGTGCTGCCAGGCACAATCATTGCTGTTCACAAGGTCCCAGAGTTTACTGGCATGGTGGCACTCCTTCTGATGTCCCAGGCCACTTCTCTGCTTCCATGTCTAACAGGCTATCTTTCTACAACAGTACCCCTCTTTCACGCAGTCTCTCTGGCTCCTCCTGTATGACAAACCTCCCTGTTTTGTTCTGTAAGAACACTTGTCATGTCAGGATGGCCGAATGGTCTAAGAACACTTGTCAGTGAGTCCCAACTGATGTCCCTGGTCCAGTGATCCAGATCCCCTCCCCTGACTCCAAAGTCAATGGCATGCAAAACTATTTTCCCAAACAAGGTCACACTGGTGATGTGACTTTTTAGGGGCCCCACTTAACCCACTGAAGTGGCAGATGATGACACCCCATCAGAAATCTTAGCCCTGGAGGAGGGGCTGAGTCTCTGGGTGTTTCACATCCACTCTCCACACATCGGCACTGGAATGGTCATGCCTTCCTGATGAAAACACTGACAAGGCTTCCTCATTCTACTTAGGAAAAAGCCTGGCCCAGAGAAGGAGAGGTGGCTTTGTGCTTAGGAGCACTTACTGTTTTAACAGAGGAACTCCATTCAGTTCCCAGCTATAGTGGCTCCCAGCTCTAGTGGCTCCCAGCTCTGTATAATTACAGTTCTGGAGGATCCAATGCCTCTTCAGGCACACGCACACACACACATAAATATGTGTATTTAAAAAAGAATAGCTGAACAGTGGCAACTCATGCTTTTAATCTCAGAACTCAAGAAGAAGAGGCACGTAGATCTCTGTGAGTTCGAGGCCAGCCTGGTCTACAAGGAGGTGAGTTCCATTCTACCACAGGAACTTTGTGCCACCCAGCCTCTGTGTGTCTTCTCTCCCTTCAGGTCTCAAGCTGAGTGTCACCTCCCCAGGCAGGTCTCCTAACTGCAGTTAACGCCTTCTGTTTTATTTTCTGGCTTGTCCCTTAGCAGAGCCTCTCTCACTAGGGTGGAACCTCTGCTTTCCCATGTCCCAGCACCTGACATTTGCTGGAAAGAGAGACTCCGATGCCCCTAAGTGCCAGCTTTCCCCGAAGCCTTGTGGACAAAGCTGGCCCTGCCAACCTAATGATGATGGTGGCTGATTAGAAAGTAAACAAGGTGGCGGGTGTCATCATGGCTAAATCGGTTTCTGGTCAGGCAAGCCTGTGAAGTGCTCCAATGTTCTTACTCGGATTCTTGGCTTTCCCTTCGAAGATTCCACTAAGGGAAGAAATTAACACTGCAAGCTGACCTTTTAATCATCCCGGGCTTGTGGGTAGATTAGGACAGCTGTTGTTGAAGCATGGGGCTGTTGTTGACCCCTGCCTGAGTGAGGTCAGAAAGTGGCCTTGACAGTAGTGGCATTGGCCTATTAGTAGTGCAACTTATAGCTTAGGATCCAAAGTAACAGTCAAGCTCTAATGTTGCTTCATCTGGGAGATCCCTACTCCCAATAACTCCCACCCCCTCCCTTCGCTACGTGCTGTAATGTGTTTGTCATCATCCCTTGACCACTGACTGTAAACTTTGTTAATAAGTGGGGCTGAGCTGTGTTTCCCAACACCATCTTCCTTGAGCTGGAAGTCTGCAAGTCATTCTCCCCAAACCCTGAGCAGTCCTTAGAAGGTTCTAGAATTCAGGATGACAAGGGCTTCTTTGTCTCTCATAGACTGAGCCCCCTTGGAATGTCCAGCACAACCACCCAGTGGGAGCACATAGGCAAGAAGGGTGTGGCCCAGCCTTCGAGCCTCAAGACTGGATTTCCTAGCAGAGTTAGGCACCTGGATTGCTTGCTGAGCCAGTCCCTGAGGTGGAGTACCGATGGGGGAAGTCAGAGAGCCGGCATGGGAGGCACAGGCTCCAGCCCTCAGCTGTCTGGGCATCAGTTAAACTCCAAAGTCCCTTTAAGTCCCTGGAACTGTTTGACTTTCTCAGGTGTAGACAATTGCTGCAGAGACAGAGTAAAGAGGAACAATCGATGTACATCCCAGAGCCAACCATTGGCCTGGATCGGAGAGCATGTGGCTGTCACATCAGAG